GTGTAAACACATGATGAGAATAGCCATTAACAGCAGGAAAAAAAGTGTAAACATATTATGAGAATAGCCATTAACAACAGGAAAAAAAAGTGTAAACACATGATGAGAATAGCCATTAACAGCAGGAAAAAAGTGTAAACATATTATGAGAATATTCATTAACAACAGGAAAAAAAAGTGTAAACATATTATGACAATAGCCATTAACAACAGAAAAAAAAGTGTAAACACATTATGAGAATAGCCATTAACAACAGGAAAAAAAAGTGTAAACACATTATGAGAATAGCCATTAACAACAGGAAAAGAGGTGTAAACACACATATTGAGAACAGTCATTAACAACAGGAAAACACATTATGAGAACAGTCATTAACAACAGGAAAACACATTATGAGAATAGTCATTAACAACAGGAAAACACATTATGAGAACAGTCATTAACAACAGGAAAACACATTATGAGAACAGTCATTAACAACAGGAAAAAAGGTTTAAAATGTCATTGTTTTGGAATTCAATGTTTACCATTCGCTTCCTCCTCTTTGATTGGTGGTTGTGGGGGAATCTTAACAATGTGGTACCTCAAACCCTTATGGAAGCTGCAACCCAAGTTGTAGCTGGTGCCATCAGGATCCACATGAGGGTGGGCACTGGCTAGATTGATGGAGATCAGCTTTTCTAGATTGACCTTTCCACCATAGAGAAGACAAGAACAACACTATATTTAACCCTTTCCACTTTAGAAGGAACTCAAACTGGTTTTTTTATGAAGTAAAATAATGTGTTATTTTATACCTCACCCCTTCCCCATTTTGGTAAACAAAAAGAAATTTTGGTCTTCTTTTTTATATTCATTTAATTTCTGTTCATAAGTGCGTGCTCATTATTGCTCCAGGAATTTTTTCTTTTGACCAATATTATCTCGTTATTATTATTATTAGAAATAACTGTCTACAGCGCCTCGACCGGTGGTATCTTGTTATTATCATAAATGCTATTATCAACCAGAAGAATATTTTCATTATCATAAACCTATAGGCCCTTGTTTGATATACAAGCGTATAACCACTGTTTAATTTAGCTTTATCACATAACTCTATAATTTATTATTAAGTTCGTAGACATGAACTGAAACTTTATATCTCTACAACACTTTATTCAATAATAACTTATTAGCGCAAGTTTAAGACTCTTTGTTAAATCGTACTTTATTAGCGTAAGTCTTACTGTTAACTGGTTCAAAGGTTAAGAAAACTGCAGGCAATCTGCCATCTAGCAAAGACTCTCTGCACCAACATAAAGAAAGTGGCAATCACCAAACTCAGATTCGGAAACTGTCATTACAAAACATCACCAGAAAGCAATGGGTGAAAGTTAGTTGATGATGTAGTTATGACTTTCCCACGAACATTTTCAAAAATCAACCGAGTTCACTTCTTGCTGTTGAAAATCAAGAGATCAATATTTTGTATTTATGACAAAGCTACTATGGCTATGTGCTGCCATTTCTAATTCCAAACTACTGAGCAGAGGGAAGGCAATCAGTCAACAGCACCTTACGGTCCACGCTAAGGAATTGATCGTCACTCAAATGAATTATTGACCAGAGGGAAGGTAGTCAGTCAACAACACCCTATCACTCATAGTAAAGGATTGACTATCACTCAGTTTATAATATGGGGAATACTTTGTGATAAAGCACGGATTCGAATCCAGTTCGCCAGCTTCGAAATCCATAGCTCTACCACATGGATCAGAAAAAACTTGGTTTGGTTGTTGTTAAGCACAAAACTGCACAATGGGCTATCTATGCTCCACCCACGACGGATGTTGAAACCAGATTTTAACGTTGATAGCCCGCATACTTGCCGCTGAGCCACTGGGGTGTGTGGACGGGGGGTCAGACAAAGAGAAGCTCTCATAAGGTACATGATCTACCATTGAAGCGCATGGACTTTTGAAATGTGTGATGGACCCCTTGGAATAAAATGACAGTAGTAGTGATGGAAACTGTAGCCTAAGATGATACTTATGTTTATCTCTATTTAGTCTTGACGTCGTAAAACCCTTCAATTCTTGGTAAAAAATGTTGGATTATTTTTGTATTCTATTTTCAATATAAAGCCTTTGATTAATTATTTGACAAAAAGAGATTTCTATACAGAAGAACTGTTGAAAATTCACGAGAATAAATAAATACTGTGCGAAATAGCTGACTGACCTTGTATTTCTTCACATCAATAATCCCATACGCACGCTCAAGCTATCATAACAACAACAACGTTTTTGTCCCAAGTCCCTCAAGAGAACTGACCACTTCCCTAAAATATACTTTCGTCTCGCCCTAAACTACACATTTACCAGTCTTTACTATATGTTTTTTATTCCTAACAATGAACACAAACTTAAGGCACTCTTTGAAAAACCACTACCAGTACACTGAAGATGACTCTTAAAATACGTGGTGTTATGTTTATTGTTTTAAGTAAGCTAATTAAAAAAAACTAATTTTCAACTAGCTGAAGCATTTAAGTTTGTTTGTTTTGAATTTCGCGCAAAGCTACACGAGGGCTATCTGCACTA